TCACTTTCTGACTCAAGGGACTCAATACACACCTTGTCCTCTGAGATGTCCATCTATGGGCGGGGTTGAGGAAAAAAATCTATCAAAATCTGTCTTTGTGTGTCAACCACTCATATAGAGGTACAGTAAAACAGTTACTGTGATATACAGGGGGCAGCACTAGGGTGATGGTTAAAAGAGTGAATATTAAAATGAAAAGTTGATATCTCAAAAGACACTTTATATGAACAGGGTACAGAATAAACAGAAACAAAATAAAATAAAAAAACTATATTTTCTCACTAGTTGAAAGAACTATATTGCACTGGTTAAATATTGGTTATGCATTGCAATTTACAAGATTTAGGAAATGAATACAGTTTAAACAATAAATTCAGAAAATGTACACAAAAAAAGTTTGAGTGAACTATTTCTTTATGTGATTATTGTATTTAATTAATTTTTTTAATCAAAAATACAGTACAATAGTAATATTGTGGAATATTACAATTTAAATACTTTATATATATATATATATATATATATATATATATGTTTAAATTTTATTTATTCCTGTGATGGTAATCATTACTCCAGTCTTCAGTGTCACATGATCCTTCAGAAATCATTATATTATGCTGATTTGTTGCTCAGGAAACATGTCTTATTATTATCAATGTTGTGCTGATTCATTTTTTTTTTTAGGCAACCATAATGCTATTTTTCTCAGGAATTTTGGATCCATAGAAAGTTCAAAAGAACAGCATTTATTTGATCTCCTTTGTAACATGATGTCTTTACTGACACTTTTGATTAATTTAATGCATCTTTGCTGAATAAAGGTATTAATTTCTCCAAAAAATTTACATAAATAATAATTAAAAAATCTTAGTGAGCCCAAACTTTTGAATGGTGGTGTACATTACATAAAAGCTATACAGTATAACCCTGACTATTATTTATTTGGCCTTTACTGATTTGAAATTTAGTCTGTACATTGAGGTTGCAGATTTGTGGAGGGTATGAGTGAAGCTTTCTCCCGAATGTAATAAATTCCCCTATAAAATACAGACACGAGATGAAGGTCACAGTGAGCCAGTGTTCAAGGGGCTGAGATACGGATGGGAGTTCACACACAGTTCAGACACGACTGGGACAGCGGCGTGCCTGTGGGCTGAAATGGGGCGCTTGGGCGATTGTTGGATTAAAAGGACAGTAACGGATGAAACACAACTATGAATCCAGCATGGATGAGCCCAATAACAAACCTCCTGTAACTCGTCCTCCTCATTCTCACTCTCTTCCAGCTGGGGACAGAAGCCAGATCATACAGTCAGACTGAAGCTAATGTGTGCCACCATACAAATACGAGCCTGTACCACCTTCCTAACCAGAGAGCTGTGGCCAGCAGATGTCACTGCTGTAGAGTAAACCTGAGTTACGTTTGATCCGTTTTTTTTTTTTTAAGATTGATATACATACATACTGAAACGTGGATGCAAATGGGATAAGCTCCTTTAAAACACTTAAGTCACCACTGTTTTCTATTGCTCAGTCAATGGGGAGATAAACAATAATAAACATTAATTAATTTAAAATGCTTTACTAGTCTCCCAGTGTAAAAAAAACCCCTGAAACATCATTAAAACCTGATCAATGTAGAAATATAATTACAGTATAAGTATAATTGCATAAGATAATAAAACTTACTTCAGAAAAATATATCGAAATAAATGAGAAAATTAAATACAAGATTATTTTTCTTAATGTTACTGCCCAAGTACATGCTTAATGAGGTTTCATAATTTTTTTTACTGGAACAAAATAATATCAAAAGTCAAAAGATTATATATACAGTATATATATATATATATATATA